AGTAGAAAATGGGGAGTTGTCAATCAAAGGGTACAAAGTCTCAGATAGACAGGAGGAATACGTTCTGAAATCTGTTGCACTTTAGAGAAACTACACATAATAATTTATGTTTCCAAATAACTTAGAGATGTCAAATGTCAAATGTCTCACCATAAAAAATGAGAGGTAAGCCAGGTGATGGCTACGTTATTTAGCTTGATTTAACCATTCCATTTAATATACCTATGTCAAAATATACTGTTCCCCATAAATGTATACAATGATAATAATGTGTCAGTCAAAAATAACACTGATAATACAAACATTTTTCTAAATAAAGACATTTGTAGACAAAAAAAGAGAGGAGAATATTTGTTGCCATATTCTATGGCATATGATATGGCATATTCTCTGGCATATGGTATTCAGCAAAACCATACTACAAGAAATGTTGAATGAATTTGTTCAGACTGAAGGGAAATAATCTCAAATGGAAGCATGAAGTTGCAGAAAAAAAACAAACTGAAAAGAGTAATTTTGTAGGTAAATACGAAATAAAAAGTTTTACTTTGTAAAAAAAGACTAAAGCAAAAAATAATGTTTTACAAGATTCATCGCACATATAAAAGTAAAATATATATGAACAATAGCAAAAAAAGACCAGGAGGAATTGAAAGCATCTGAAATTATTTATAAAGTGGTAAAGTTTGAATTCAAGGTAGCCTGCATTAAGTTAAGGATGTATGTATACTTTAACATGTAGCATAAGCACTGAAAGGAAATATAAAACTATATTAATAAAAAGCCAATAAAACACATAAAATGGAATAATAAATATGCTTGAATAATCATAAAGAAGGATGAAAGAAATAGCAAAGGGACCAAACGAAATAGGCATCAGAGAAAGTAAAATGGTGGACTTAAACCCAACCATGTGAGTAATTACTTTAAATGTAAAAATGAACAAAAAACTAATTCACTCAATTAAAAGAGGGAGATTCTGAGAGTGGATTTTTTGTTTTGTTTTGTTTTTTAGTTTTTTAAAGGAGGATTTATTTGACAAGTTTCACTTAGAGCAATATACCTAAAAGGAAATCACAATACAATGAAAGATTTAAATGAAGGCCTCAGAATTTCATACAAACACCAAGACCAAAATCCTGAAGGACAGGTACTGCGTCTCAAATTTTTCCCATTAACTTAAAAAAAGCTTAAACTTACATGTCTTACAGGTTATTAAATGAAACTAGAATTAACAAACATGCCAAAATGTTTCACTTTTAATTGTAGACACAGCTCCTATATTGAGTTTAAAAAGACAGTGGATTTTTTAAAAAATCCGTGACTCAATATATGCTATCTACAAAGGACAAACTTTCAGTATAAAGATAAAGACAGAATAAAAGTTAAAAACAAGAAAAGATTAGTGACATAGGCACTAATACTAAAGAAAGATATACTGTAATGATAAAAGGATCAATGTTTAAGGAAGACATGACAAGCCTATGTGTATATTCACCTAATATCATAGTTTTAAATGTATGATGCAAAACTGATGGAACCAAATGGAGGAAATACACTGACCCACAGTCATAATTGAAGATTTTCACATTCTCTCTGAGTTAAAGCAAGCCGACATCATTCTATCAATATATAAAATATTTGGAAAACATATTAACAAACTTGACCAAATTAATGTTTAGAAACAGTACTACTGACAACTGAGAACACACAAGCTTTTTAAATACACACAAATTATTAACAATGTAAACCGCATGCTTTGTCTTTTAGGTAATTCTTTGTATATTTCAAAGGATTGATTCATTCAGAATATGTTCTCTGGTCAGAGTGAAAATTAACTATAACTCAATATCAAAAGGATAATCAAAATCTCCAACATTTGGGGATTACCAACATAGTTCTAAATAGCCCATGCATGGGTCACAGAAGAAATCACAGTGGGCATCAGGAAATATTCTGAAGCACAAGTAATAAAACTATGACATACCAAAATCTGTGAAATTATGCTAAAGCAGTGTTTACAGGGTACTGGCTTTAAATGCATACATTAAAAAAGAATAAAGGCTTTAAAGAATGATCTCAGGTGTCTAGTAAAAAAAGAAAAAGTATTCTCAAAGGAAGAAGGAAGGGAACTGCGGTGACAGCAGAGACCAGGCTCTCAGATCCCCTGTCAGTGTCAGTGAAGACACATGGCCTTGGCTGTCACAGATAGCCCCTGGCTGTTCAGCTCCCTTGGGTTTTTCTCAATTGCAGAGAGCCTCATCACCCAAGGCCATGCCCTTCTCGGTAACTGAATGAGGGGGAAGTATAAAAATCCCAGGGATTCCAGACCAGTGCAGGACACTCCTGACAGCTAAATACCGCTACAGCTCCCTGTAGTGCTGTTCAAGCTTTTTCAGGCCTCAGTCACAGTTGAACTTCTCCCTCTGGCCAATGGAGTTAAGCTTCCTCACTTCCCCAGGAATTCATCTCTAATAAATATCTTGTACACCAAACCCTATCACAGGGTCTGCTTTCAGAGGCAGACTTTCAACAGAATAACAAAAATAAGAGCAGGAATCAATGGAAAGAAATGAACCTACGTGTCAGAAAATCAAAACTAAACGTTTGTTCTTTGAAAGGTCAAAAACATTAATAGACATCTAGCTAGACTCATTAAGAAGAAAAGGGGAAGGAAAAAAGCACTCAATAAAATGTATTTGTTTGACATTGTTACTGTCAAAATATAGAACATTTTCATCCTCACAAGAATCACTCACATTGCCCTTCACAGCCACACCCACCTCCCTCTCCGCACACCCTGTCCCTAGAGCCTGGAGACCACTAATTGTTTCCCATTCTGTAATTTTGTCTTTTCAAGAATATTACATAAATGAAATCATAGAGTATGATTTTTGTAATTGGTTTTTTTCTTCACTCAACATAATTCCCTGGAGATTCATCCAAATTGTTGTGTATATTAGTAGTTCATTTCTTTTCATTGCTGAGTGCTTTCTCACGGTGTGGATATGCCAGTTCATTTACATATACCTATTGAAGGACATCTGCATTGTTTCCAGTTTTTGGCTCTTAGTAATAACGCTGCTATGAACAATTATGTATAGAGTTTTAAAAATATAAGTCTTACATTTTCTGCGGTAAACACTCAAGAGTTCAATTGCTAGGTCATACGTTGGTTGCATGGTGCTGTGGGCTGAATTTTGTCTCCTCAAAATTCGTATGTTGAAACTTTAACCCCTATTGCATCATACTATGACTGTATTTGGTTATAGGCGCTTTAAAGAGGTAATCAATGTATAAGGAGATGATATGAGTGGGGTCTAATCTGATAACACTGGAGTCCTTGTAAGAAGAGGATATTAAGACACAGACAATACAGATTGGGAGTGACCATGTGAAGACACAGAGAGAAGGCAGCCATATGTGAGCCAAGGAAAGAGGCCTCAGAAGAAACCAAACCTGCTGTCGCCTTGATCTTGGATTTCTAGCCTCCAGAACTGTTAGAAAATAAATTCTTTATTGAAGCCACTTAGTCTGTGGTAATTTGTATGACAGCCCAGGAAAACAAATATACATGATTCATTTTATGACAAACTGACAAACAGTTTTACAGAGCTGCTGTATCACCTTCATATGTTCACTAGCAATGCATAAAGGGATCCAGCGTAAAGGGGATCCAGTTCTCTTCATTTGGATCCAATGTGTAAAGAGGGATCCAGTTCTCTGCGTCCCTCCAGCATTTGGTATTCCCCCTTTTTTTTAATTTTAGCCATTCTGATAGGTATGTAAGTGATAGATTGTTTTAATTTGCATTTCCCAAATGACTAATCATACTGAACATGTTTTTATGTGCTTATTTTCTATCTGTATATCCTCTTTGGCGAAATATCTCTTCATATCTTTTGAACACTTTCTAAATATATTTTTTGTTCTTAACTGTGAAATGTTGAGAGTTCTTTATACATTTTAGTTCTTAGTTCTTCGTGGGACAGCGTCTACAGATATTTTCATCCTGTTTATAGCTTGTCTTTTCATTCTTTTAACAGAGTCTTTTGTAGAGCAAGTATTTTCAATTTTGATGAGCTCCAATTTATCAATTTTTCCTTTTTTAAATCATGTTTTTAGTGTTAAGTACAAGAATTTCTTACCTTGGTCCCAAAGATTTTCTTCTCTTTTTTTTCTATAAAAGTTTTATGGTTTACATTTTACTTTTAACTATAAAATCTATTTTGAGTTAATTTTCATATATATAAAGTATACAATTTAGGTCAAGGATCATTTTTCAAAAAGGTTACTCTTCTTTCATGTGATTGCATTATCAGATTTTGAATGGGAAGTATGACTCAAAAGGCTAAAAATAATTGTTTTACATAGAAGAGTCTCCAGGAAGCATTCTAGACTTTATTAAAGTAACATAAACACACTGGAGACTCTTAGGCAGCTTCACGAAATGCCTTCAAACAACGTACATAAGACCTCTTCTGTCCTCTTTAGCTGAAGATGCAAAAGAATGCAATAAGCATGTTCTTAGATCCAAAATTTTCCTTTGTTATGTTTATTGGTTCATGACACTTATTCTCCAGTCTGATTAGTAATTATGTTTCATGGGAATGATGCTTGCTTGACTTGTCTAAATTCCTGTATTAAACCTCTTGCCTATCTAAACTCAAGAAACCAGTCCAATGATTTTAACCCGAACTGCTTCTTTTGAATTCAGCCTCTTGTTTGCTGGACCAACAGACACTCCTAAATTGGATTCCCAGCACCTCTTAGCCACTTCTGCACTTGGTTCACCCACACCCTTACACCCTTTTGTAAAGCCCAGGGTTCTTCCATGCTAGTCTTCTTGGCCCTGAAATCAGTATAATTATGTCACTTAGCAGAGGGAAAGGGAGTGTGCTCCATATTTGATCACAGAACACAGACTGAGGGAGTCATTAGCTCTGTACACTGCATATTTCTCTTCTCTCTGCACACATGGAAGAATTGTGCTGCCTTACCTCTTTGGAGTGTAGCTAACCATGTGAATTGCTTTGATCAATAAAACATAAGCTGAAGTGAGCTGTGCCATTTCCTGGAAGAAGCCAGTAAGAATTCACAGGCTTCACTCTTGCCCTTCCATATAGATCAGTGATGTTCTGGATAGAGGTTCCATCAGCCTGCAAGCCTAAATGAAAACAGTACGAAATTGAATGTGTTCCATGACTGAGAGTAAAACCCTGTTGTTTTAAACCACTAAGATTTCAGTTTTTGATATTGTTTTTCACTACTGCATAATTTTGTTTTCCCTTATTGATATACTCCCTTATTGGTATAATTCCCTTATTAATATAATCTCATTATATATGCAATTATAATAATTCATTAAATAGAAATCCATATTTGAATTAATCTAAAAATAACTTTGTAAGTCTATTCATAGAAATGAATTTGCTAATTAAAAAAAAGAATATTGTCACACCATGTTCCTGAATTAAAGTTTTAAAAACACAGTTTCAACATGTAGATCAGCAACAGCATTCCATGGAATAGGATACATGCACATCAAATTCATTTCTGACACTGAGTCAGGAATTAATATTTTTTGAATAACTGTGATCCACAAAAGGGAGATGGAGCAATTATAAAGTAAAATGCTGAGCAGAAATAGCTAAGAAGATATTTCAACTGCTTGACAACAGCTTAACAACAGATAATTTAACAAAAATTTGTGTCTGCTGAGCAAGGTGCTGCATGTAAAATGTGAGGAAAACATGGCCCTAAACACACTAGACTGTAGATGAGGCAAATACTAATGTGATTATGGCAGGAGGGGCATATCCAGGGTTCAGCCAAAGCTCAAAGAAGAGGGAAATGTCATCATATTCAAGTTTATACTCAATGGGAGAAACACATTCTCACTCACTTCCCCATCAGAAAGTTATGCTCTTGATTAAACAGAGCAAAATTTAATTCCTCTCTTCTCAATAGCATACCTAGAACACAGAAGTCAGCCAAAGAACACAGTGTACTCAGGTTAAAGAGCCAGAAAAGTGCAAGGTCCCATAGCAAAGACACAAAGTCCTTCCTCACTAGCAGGTAGAGATGGGCTTTTTGCAGAGTTCTTTGAAAGTGGTAAAATCTCCATAGCTGCTGGTGGTGCCTGGACTTGTTTAAAGTGAACTTTGGGCAAGTGTATAAGCACAGGCAGGTTTTCTATGGCTTTAGGGACCTCACAGGTGAAAACTACAGGGTTCATACAGGACAATCAGCAAATCTAACATATGTAAAGTACAGCACCCAGTCTCGGAATGTGACAGAGCCTGCTTTTATTTAGACACAGCAGGCTGGGGTTTTTCAACGATTCTTTAGTGAGGAAGGAATATATCATAATGTATGTATACATATAATTACACTCCATAGTTATGCTTAAATTTGCAGTCAGATCTAGAGTTTTGGTTTGTCATTAACTAATCCTACTTCTGTCTTCATAAACATAAAAATTAAAGAACCATTCCAGGAAATATTAGAGGTGGCTTGGGTTGAACTGACCTGAATATTATGCACAGCGGTCAAAATGAGTTAAGCAGCCTTCCTTTCAAAACGGCACCCTGACAAGGCTGTTTCTGCATACTACTCTTGCATACTTCTATGGTAGATGATGAAGAAAAAATGGTGCAATTTGGAGATGAATTTCAAACATGAAAGACAAAGTATCTTTCAGTAAAATCTATAAAACATTCTTCTATAAAATCTATAAAAATATAAGAAAGAATAACATTCTTCTTCCTCACCATCATGCACCAAGCCATAATTTTCTCTTTGTTTTCTAAAACACAACTTAAAGACATGCACTTTAATAAGGCCTAGATGCTGCAACCCAGAAATCCCCGCCTCTAGAACCTAGTCCTGGGAAATGAGCAAAGATATGCTTGGAGGTTTAGGAGCAAAAATACTATTCGCAGAATTTACAATATTGGGGGGACAGTGGAATTTTTCAAAATTATATATATTAATAAGAAAAAAATACTAAATTGTCTTTTTTCAATTGTGAAAGAAATGGCACGTAAGATCTAAGTAATAATCCCCTCACTGATGAATGCAAAGCTCTGATCAGCTCAGCTCAAATTCCCTGTAAACCTCTGACCTCTGGCTAGTTCTTAGTAGAATACACTGTGCTGAAACCATTTAATCCTGGATCTCAAAGTGTAAGCCTAGATTACCTTAGAGTTCACCTTTTACCCTGCTCCTTCTTCTAAAAGTGAACACCTCTCAAATGCTGAGACTTTCAGAAGTTGGGTCGTTTTCATGACTCTTTTCCCTTATGCCTGCTACCTTTAATGCGGAGACAGAAGATATACTCTGCAGAATCAGATGTTGAACCACAGCTTGGCTATGACACTGGCAATTAATCTTTGTTGACGATTTCCCTGTCAGCGACCAAATCATCAAGTCAGTATTTCATTCAGTGAAAATTTTGTGATTAACGATATACCAGGGTCACAAGGATACAGAGGTTGTATATGTAAAATATGGGCCTTGACTTTGCAGTGCTTGCTCTCCAGCTGACTAATCAACATCGGCATAAACGAACCAGGAGGAAATGCTTCAGCACAAAATGGAAGGAGGGGCTAAGTCAGCGGGTAGCAGCAAGGTGCCATTGACACAGAGGCAAACTCAGTAATGGCCACACTGACCAGGGAGGACTTCATAGAAGAAGCAAACCATTTTTGAAGGATAAATGGGATTTGTATAAGGAAATTATAAGGCATTCCAGGACCACAGAACAATATGAATGAAAAAATGGCACTAGGAATGAGCTTGTTTCCAGTTCAGGGGACCTGATGGAGGGGAATAGTGAAAAACGAAGGTGGGAGAGAGCTTGGGAAGAAAATTGAAATGGTCCTTCTAGACAAAAATATATATATTTTTTGGGGGGGTGTGATATTTTTCCTGAAACTGTCCAGGGAAAGCTGTTTTACATGCTAACTCATCATGTTAGTAAATCTAAACATTTTATTTGTGAATAATCTATATATTTGACTCTGTATATCAAAAAGTAACAAAAATAGAGTCTTCCACATCAAAGGAGGGTTATTGCTGAAGCTCAAGTGCTCAAGTCTTAACTGCTGGATGCATTCTGAATCTTCCTCAGTCCTCCCAGTAATAACAGTGACCATGCTGGGTACTCACATCCTCTCCCTCCACTCTGCATTTCAGATGCCCAGCCCAAATCCCATCAACAAAAGTCCTTTCACCTCTGCTTCTGAAACACCCTGCCTCTCCCCTGATCAGCTCCTCCATGCCATTCCTTTTCTTTAAACCAGTGATTATCAATAAATGTACAGTATATTTGTTCAATTATTCCATACAGTTATTCTTTGGTATCTGCAGGGAATTGATTCCAACATCCCCGTGGATAACAAAACCCTCAGATCCTCAGTCCCTTGTATAAAATGGCATTATCTTTGCATATAACCTATGCTCATCCTGCCATACACTAGAAACCATCTCTGGATTACTTATAATACCAAGTACAGTGTAAGTAAATGGTTGTTATACTGTATTATTTATTATTGGTATTACTTTTTCTTGTTTTCTTCCAATATTTTTCATCCATAGTTGATTGAAAACCTGCAGATATGGAGGGACATGTGTATGTATTTAGTACGACATTTCAGTGACCATCCATATTATGAATTCCCCTGAGGTATGCATGAAGAGAGAGACAGAGAGAGGGAATGGATAAACAAACCAGATGGGTGAACATGGCCAGATAGATTTTGGACACACCAAGATTCAATCTTTCCCCTAGAGGAGTTGACTATCCAAGCAGGAGCCAGTTATCCAAGTCATTATAATGTAAAACTGCTTCAAAGCAGAGATCCACAATGCACGGTCAAGTAGAGGACAAGGAGCACCCACCTCTGCTGGAGGAAGATGGAGGAAGCGTGTCAGAAGCTTTTGAGGTGAAAAAGAAAGAATAGGTAGAGATTCTTCTCAAGCTCGAGGAGGCATTCCAAACAGAATGATAACATGTGGAAAGACACAGATGCATCATCACATATAACAGGGTTGAGAAACTATGGAGAAACTGAAGAGCAGAGTGGAGAGAGAGAGGAGATGAAGACCGATAGGTAAGCAGAGGTCACTTCATGAGGAGTCAGGAGGAAAAAGTCATAATAATAGAATGTGCTATAGAAAAACACAAAACATTCAGTTTGATCACAAATGTAAGGCATGCTCCTGTTTTCTTTTTAAAGAATCTATCTTATTTATTTTTCACATTTATTGAATTTTAGTTTGGTTTAATAATATGTACTAAATGGCGGCTAAAGATAATATACAAAATGTGGGTAAAGTATAAATAATTACAATGCAAATAACACCCACTTACTTACCTGGCTTAAGGGAAGGAAGGAGAGTTGTCTGTAAAGCCCCTCCTATGTCCATTTATTTCACGTCCTGCTCAGAAATTACCATTAAACAGCTGAGCCCAAGATTGGAACACAGACCCTCTTGATGCTTAACCCATGTTCTTTTTACTCCCTTCTTCCTTGTGGACCCACAACTGACTCTTTCCTTCCCATCCTAATCTCATTCCCCAAACATAAAAATAAATAATTTTAAAAAATGTAACAGGAAGGGATGTCCCATTTTATATTCTAACATATAAATTTTACACCAGAAAAGCTAAGACACAGGCAAGTTGAATTAGTTGCCTAACACGTTCTTGCTCATCAGTGGCAAGTTCAAAACTAGCACTGAGAGCCTTAAATTTTGATTCTCATTTGGGTCAGAAAACCCTAATTTTACCCTATGTATTAGTCTGTTCTCAAAGTGTTATAAAGAACTACCTGAGACTGGGTAATTTATAAAGAAAAGAGTTTTAATTGATTCACAGTTCCACAGGCTATACAGGAGGCATGGCTGCGGAGGCCTCAGGAAACTCAAAATCATGGTGGAATAGCAAAGGGGAAGCAAGTACCTTCTTCACATGGTGGAGCAGAAGGAAGAGAGAGTGAAAAGAGAAGAGCTACACACTTTTCAGCAACCAGATCTCACGAGAACTCACTATCACAAGAACAGGAAGGGGAAAATCCTCCCTCGTGATCCAACCACCTCCCACTGTGTTCCTTCCCCAACACTGGGGATTACAATTCAATATGAGACTTGGGCAGGGACACAGAGCCAGACCATATTACCCTAGCATTGTCATTATCCCACTTTGAATGAAGTAGCCATCCCATTTATGACACCTTCATTTCCTTCTAATTTGGAAGTTGGAATAATGAGGAGACTGCCAGAGTCTAAAAGTAAAAAGCACTGTAATTGTTATCCCTATATTTGTGTAACCATACAAGAGTTATAATAAATTACACCTTCTCTATTGCTGCCGTAGTATTTTGAAGGCTTGAAGGTGTAGAGTTCCTTAATGTTTAATGGACTAATTATCAATAGTCTGAGCCAAGAGGTGTGTCCAATTAAAGTCTGAGTCACCAGGAGCTTCGATTTAAAATTCAGGAATCCTGTGGGCTCTCAATCAAGAATGCCATTTCAAGGAACACTAAAATGAGAAAAATAAAATTAAAACTAATCTTTTTTACTCTCAAAATAACCCAAAAATTAATACGAAAATTTAAACAGTTAAGCAAATGCCATGAGGCTCTGCTCATGCATGCTGGGCGCAAACCTCAGAAAAGTTTGAATCTTGTTGGCACAGGTCTATTTACAGGCTCATTAGGGAAGGTGGCTTTTTAAAGGTTTTTCATCCTAGGTATGAAAATCATTATTCAGCCAGTAACATCCAAGCTTCAAATGATTAGCTATTTTTTCCTCATCTGTGTCTCATCTGTTTGTCCTTTAGAATAAAACAACTCTAAGGCTAGAACAGAAATCTAAAGGCCACTTAATTATTGAGTGTTAGAATGGGAAGGGACTTCAAAGACTGCTAAATCTAACTCTCTGTTTACAAATGAGGAAACTGAGACCCAGAAAACAGCCATCGAAGGTCATGGGAAAGTGGGACTTGGAACATAGTTCATTGTTCTTCTTACTACATCAGTCATTTTATCAGCCAACAGTAAAGACGGCACTTCATACGCAAAATGTTTGTCCTTGCATGGAGATGTCTGTCTGTGAACATCTCCATGAGTCCATCAGTGAATGCAGCCCTTGACTTTTCTCTTTGATTCTATGCCTTTGCTCAGAAAGGGCCAGACATCCGTCCTTCATCACAGGACCCTTCTTCACCTCAGAGTTCCCCAGAAGCCCACAGAGATACACCAAGGCTTCCCAAATAAGCCCATTAGGTCACCAATCTCCTGGGATCCTTGAGTGACAAGGAGGTAGGAATGACAATTTCGTTATGAAATACACTTGGGAAAAACTAGTGGATTTGCCTCTGAAAACCTCTCAATAGCCTGTCTAACTTTGTTTAACCCAGAGTATCTCCAAATTATGTGACTACATTTTACTCTCCCTTCATTGTTTTTGTGTATACTCAGTATTATCCCACTGCTTCAATCCATGGAATACACCTGTGAATCCTGCACTATAGAATTTCTTCTGCCTACCAGTTGCTTCAATTAAGCTCTCCAGAAAGGTCCATATTCTTCTTAGATGCACATGTGGGCAGAACTTCATTGGATGGATTCATTGCTTCACTGGAGGTGATCGAGAAAATCAGTTACTGTGAAATGTGACCAGTCAATGATGCTTAAGGAGCATCTAATGAGTATTTAACAGAAGACTTGCTGCTAAGTTTCCTTGTGACAAGATACAAACATCAGATCCTCATCCCCACTCCTAACAACAAATCACTTCAAACTCTATGCCAACATTTTCATTTTTTAAGCAAAAATTACATATTGCTCACACTGAATCATATATTATGCCAAAAATAATTCAACTGATACAATTATCGTTTTTTTTTTTAGTGAATTGAAATCATTTTTCACTACCTACTTTTTTTTTCTGAAGGCAGTTCTTTCATTCATTCATATTAACTAAACAAATATTTCTTTAGTACCTAGTATATGCTAGATCCTATCCAAGGGGCTGTGAATATGGCCGGAAAGAAACACAAAAATACCTAGTCTAGGCTTACATTCTGGCAGTGAAGGCAATCAATCAATAAGCAAGCAGAAAAACAAATGTAAATATGTAATGATTTTCTACAGATATATAATATGATTTATATAATCCCAGGTGAAATAAAATAAGGCAGGAAAAGGTAATAAGAACAAAGATGGGGGATGATGTTTAAAATGAGGCAGTCAGGTAAGGTGTCATACAGTCATTTGTAAAACAACCGGAGATTTCTTCTGTCTTCTATCTCATGCTAAGTGTGGCTCCCTAAACTTCTCTAGGAGAAAAAGGCCTAGATTTAGGGTTAGCATTCAGGTTATGAGAAAATGACTGCCTTTCTCTGTGACCCAAATGTGCTCTGAGGCATTTTCTCAGCCTTGCTTCCCTTCTCTGTTCTATTGTGGGTGATGGAGTTGTGGTGACACTGTGGCAGGTCCCAGTCAAATAGCCTATGGAGAGTTGCCTGTGTCCCTTCAGCAGGGGCTCAGTTGAATGTGTTACTTGTGTCCCATGTGTCACATGAGATCCCACTGGCATTCCATAGTCCTTTTCTCCCTAGGGTTTCCTAGAGTATGGGAGACCTGCCCTGGCTGTGCTGAAGTTGATTTGGGTGTCATGCGAATGCTCACAACAGATTCAGGAACTGCACCTTAGATAACACTGCTATTGTCTTTTAGTTCTCCCTTGCTCTTTCTGATTCTTTCCAGAGGAACGTCTTAGTTTAGTGATAGTCTCTAACACTCCTCTTGAACATGAAAAGAGCAGTACTGGAGTCAGAACCGTAGGTGGTAACAATATCTAGCCAGAATCTAACAACACTGATTTATTTTTGTTGCGTTTAATTTTTCTTAAAAATAAATGTAAGCTAAAATTGAGATAATTGAAATAAGATATTCAGTAAATATGTGTACATGTGATTTTACCTGTTAAATTGTGAAGGTGGAGCCCAAGTGACTGAAGTTCAGAAAACACTATCCTTGACTCACAGAAGCTGATGGCAGGCTTTTGATTTCTCTCTTGCTGTTAGATTTCAATAGATAGGAGATTGCTCAAAAAGCCACAATTACTGATGATTTTTATGCTTGTCTTATAGATGGAAACTTCTGCCTGTGTCTAAATACTTTCGGATGATAATATTATCCTATCAATAACCAATATGGGACCTGAGTCCCCTTTGAATCTGCAAGTTCCCCTTAATCCCTTAAAAATCTTCTGCATTTGAACTGGAGAAAAATAAGCAGCAACCATGAACACACTGCATTCCTCTGATTACCTGATGACTGTTCCAAGAATTGCTTTGATGCTTATAATTGTAGTATAAAGAGCCTCCGTGGTGACCAAAGGATGTTACTGTATTTTTTATTTGCCTGAAGGCTGGAATTCTAATAAAAATTCTGGCATTTGTCATTTCTATCCCAGAAGGGGTTGAAAAGAATATTTTAGGTAGGTCAACTTTGCCATCTGAACCAGTCCCTCAATGCATCCCTCAATCCCTGTGTCTCGTGTTCACAGATGGAATACAAGATGTACTGATGTTGAAACGATGTTAAAAATAAAATATCTTCTCAACATTTAAGCACAGTTAAAAGTAATGCTCATGTAACACCTAGACTTTACTATTTAGCCTTTTGCCCTGCACAATCACCCATCAACCTGCCTGCTGAAAGAGGGGCTGCACACTCTGAAACAGATGTTTAGCACACATAATCATGTTATAAATCAATCAACACATCAAGAAAACAAACATTTCGTTCCTCCTTATTCTCTCTCTCTCTCTCTCTCTCACACACACACACACACACACACACACACACACACACTAGACCTTTGCTTTTCTTAGAATTTGAATCTGCCTGTGAATTTATCTTGTCCTTCAAAGTTCTTTCATTTTCATATTATCTTAAGACTTTGAATTATTTCTTTCCAAGAAACCAGTGACTCCAGATGATTCTTACACAGTTCTTCAATTCTTAACCACTTTGTTCCTGAGAAAACACAATTTTAAATTCAGCAGCTTTGTGAAAGGTGCTCATCCTCTCAAAGTTGCTGCTTAGACTTGTTGGTTATTATTAAAGTCATCTCTATATAACTCCCTCTAGAGATTGGCTATAGATAATTGATAATGATATTTTAATAGTCCTAGAGAAAAATTAAGAAAAATTTGGTTGAGTCTATGAATCTTTCTAATGTATTCCCAGTGTAGTTATGATTAGTGAAATTTCTATCCAAATAGTAAATCCACTGAAGCAGTGGGTTATAAACTGACATTTAGGAAGCAAGGAGTGAGTTATTCAGCCGATCTCTATGTCCTCTGCCTTCTGCCCACAGCGAGGCCAGGCAGGGTACAGAGTAATGAATATCAAGACCAATGGCTACAAGAGCTCACAGAAAAAAGAGCTTACCTTTTTACTTCTGAGTACACATGGATTCGGGCTGTCTCATTTTTAATGTGTGTGTGTGTGTGTCTGTGTGTGTGTGTCTGTGTGTGTGTGTCTGTGTGGGTGTGGGTGTGTGTGTGTTGGGGGTTGGGGAGTAGCCCTGCAACTCATCCCCAGGACATAATCCAAACAGAAAAACTATAGAATTTTCTGACTAGCTCCACATGGGGTGTCTAAAAAGGCCAACAGTGCACCTTGGATGGCTTTCAAGTTTTTTCAAAGCCATCTGGAGTCTTTTAAAGTTGTCATTGTTTAAGGAACCAGCAGAGAGGGGAGAGAGTATTTTGGGTCTCAGGAGAAAAGGAAGAAATAAGATTTAAGGTAGCCAACAGATGTGGAAAATCCAGGTACTGTTCTAAGCACCTTGCCTATTACCTGCCTTTCTCCTGCTGCCTCAGCTACCCTCCCCAAAGTTCCTTTCCCTTCTCAAACACTATCTGCCTCTATGGAGGAGGAGAAAAAGTGGCAGAGTTTTTCACTAGGGTCTTCTCACTCCTTTAATTTCACTTCCGGGGGCCTTCTCATTCCCTATAATTCTATTTTGTCGTTTAAATCTACACAACGGCTGTTTCTCTCCTAACATCATGGGCATAAATGGCCAAACGTCGTTCTGAATTTACAACCAGTTAATTTTTATTCTTCCAAGTCTCTAATTCTGGCAACATCACTATTTTACTAATGGTATTTTCTCTCCCTCTCATTTCCGGTACATATGCTTTCACTTTCAATCCTTCCCTCCAAGGAGCTCTTCTTCTGCCTCCTGCCCCTTCATTTCCCACTTGTACAAAGCTCTGCATTTGCACCTCACTGTTCCTCTCCTTCCATTTAATGGAAGCACCCAACCTCCATAGTTATTATTTCTCACTTCCTGCATCTCATCTGTCACTGTCATGGTGCTGGCTTTTTTTTTTTTTGCTTTACCCACATAAATTATAATTTCCTCATTTTTGCTTTTTAGCCTTAACTAATTTTCTTATGTATCTGATCTTTTATTAGTTGAACATTCATCAACTACCTCAGAAAAATGAAATTTTTATGA